TCATGAAATTCAGTTAATGTTTACTTACTGGTGTACTGAGAAACAGTGGTACTCTGTCCTTCAGTACTTCCATCACCTGCCACTGCAGTGACATTTATATCATACTGGACACCAGCAGTCAGGTTAGAAATGGTTATTTGTGTTTCAGTCACGTTTTCACTTTTAGTGACATTTCCATCACTCCACTGTACTCTGTAGGAAGAGCTGTTCCCCTCTGGTTCATTCCACATCACAGATATGGAGGATGTTGTGATTTCAGTGACAGAGATATTCCTGACTACTTCAGGCTCTGTGAGCGCAGGATAAATACGAGGTGAGGAAGAAAATGTTTAGAGACAGACAAATAAAGAACTAGTGAAAATGACAAGAACAAAGACTACACAAAAGTGTTTCATTACAGCAGAGAACAGTTTCTTATCCAAAAAGCTACACCAAGCTATTACAAAAATGAAACTTATGGTTACTTGTGACTATGGTGAGCTGGTGAGGATCTCCTGTTGTCTTATTGTCTCCAGCAACAGCAATAATTAAGATGTTGTAGCTAGTGCCAGGGATCAGGTCTGATAGCACAGCAAAGAGGTTGTTGGTGTCTCTGATCGTCTTTGCTCCACCATGATCCCACTCCACCCTGTACAGGAGCACCTCACCAGGAGGTTGGGTCCAGTTCAGAGAGATGGAGGAGGTGTTTCTTGTGTAAGTAGGTCCCCAAATGTTACCAGGTTCTTAAGTAAAACGGAGAGGAAAGGTCAATACTCTACAAGTAAAACATTTAACCACTGGTGTAATCGTGTTGTGCCTGAGAGTCAACATCAGATTAAGAATAAAGAGCAAATTATGCAACAACTTGTCCTTTGAGAGGACTTGTTTTTCTACACCAGGACGTCTCTTACAGAAACCTCAGAGCATCATCCTGCTTGTGATCACTGCAGACAGTCTTCAACAACAGATGTCTTCAGCAGACTCTCTCTATCTGACCTCATGAACCACAGTTAATGTTTACTTACTTGTGTACGGAGAAACAGTGGTACTCTGTCCTTCAGTACTGCCATCACCTGCCACTGCAGTGACATTTATATCATACTGGACACCAGCAGTCAGGTTAGAAATGGTTATTTGTGTTTCAGTCACGTTTTCACTTTTAGTGACATTTCCATCACTCCACTGTACTCTGTAGGAAGAGCTGTTCCCCTCTGGTTCATTCCACATCACAGATATGGAGGATGTTGTGATTTCAGTGACAGAGATATTCCTGACTACTTCAGGCTCTGTGAGCGCAGGATAAATACAAGATGAGGAAGGAAGAATATTTAGAGCCAGGGAATTAAAAAACTAGTGAATGGCAAGAAAAAAAACTACAACCGAGTGTGTTTCCTGTACAGGAAAGCACAGTTGCTTAACCAAAAAGTTATACAAGTTATCAAGTCCAATAAAACTTGTGTTAAAAAGGGAAAAGGAAAGGAGAGGTCAATACTCTTTGAGTAAAACCTTTAGTACTTGGTGTAATCGTGTTGTGCCTCAGGATCAACATCAGTCTAAGGACGAACAGCAAATTAGGGAACAACTTCTATTCTATATTTACAAGTATCATCCTGCTTGTGATCACTGCAGACAGTTTTCAACAACAGATGTCTTCAGCAGACTCTCTCTATCTGACTTCATGAAATTCAGTTAATGTTTACTTACTGGTGTACTGAGAAACAGTGGTACTCTGTCCTTCAGTACTGCCATCACCTGCCACTGCAGTGACATTTATATCATACTGGACACCAGCAGTCAGGTTAGAAATGTTTATTTGTGTTTCAGTCACGTTTTCACTTTTAGTGACATTTCCATCACTCCACTGTACTCTGTAGGAAGAGCTGTTCCCCTCTGGTTCATTCCACATCACAGATATAGAGGATGTTGTG